ATATTTAGATGGAAATCCCGGGACGACTAGAGTTGAACTGCTAGTAGCAATCCATCCTGATCCATCATACTAAGAAAGATCTGGAGGAAATTTTATGATTGTGATTACAACATTTGAGGTTCTCTATTATTAGATCTCGTTCTAGGTCAACTAAGGGTCGACAATAATGTCGTGACTACACCATCTGACATACAGCAAATGCTAAAGTCATAGAGACACCAAGAATATTTTCAATAAGAATTTGCAACACTTCAAGTATTTACTTCTTAGGTAAATTTCTGCACAACCGCAAGACTTACAACGTGTTTGGTGGGGTCTTAAAATATGTGACGTGGCAATCAGCAGATGCTTTGGAAATTAAGAAAATGTTTTCAAAACCTGTCATCTACATTGCTATTATCACTTATACAACGAGATGCTTTATTCTAAGGTAGTATCCCTATTGATTTTAAAAGTAAGAATTCATTTGTTGGTTTCATACAAGAAATGAACTTACCTTGATGATTAGGTCAGAAGTCCTTATTGTGTAAGTGTCAAGCCCAGCTTCTATTTCAATAGCAGGAAATTTGGCGTTGCAGTCAACAAAGTAAATTCCCATTGATCGGTCAGGCTAAATGATGGGTTTTGGTAATTGTAACTATATATCACAAAAATATAGGTATTACCCGAGCGTTGGCAATCTTGGCCATTTTATCTGCGACAGCAGTGGGCAGGACCATTAATGAATATAAATCTTGTTCAGCACGGGTACGATCCATGACTTTGTAATCTCCCATGGAAATAGCGTCGAACTGAAAATTATACTATTTCGCAATAATTCAACTTTGTTTATCACATACTGAACCATGTTCACTTTTTCCCAAGTGATACTTCTGATTGTTTGAGGTTAAGAAAACTTTTTTCGCTTCCACAATCAGTAGCCCTTTTCATCCGAAACTAATAGTAATACAACCATATTTTTTGAAAATAAAATAAAGTTTCTAGATATAGTAGTCTAAGAGTGCCGCATTACAATTTTATTATTGGAAAAAATGCCCCACGCGGCCTAATGTAGAACGTCACATAGCGGAGAATAATATGCACACGTAAAAGCGCTATCTGGCGCAGGA